AGATATCACATTGACTGCTATTCTGATGTTGAACCACCCTTGCATTCCTGGGATAAATCCCACTTTGGCATAATGAATTAGCCATTTAATATGCTGTTGGATTCAATTTGCTAATATTTTGTTGAGGATTTTTCCATCTGTATTCATAAGGGATATTCATCTGGTATTCTCTTTTCTCACAATGTCATTATGTGACTTTGGTATCAGGGTAATGCTGATCTCACAGAACAAGTTATGAAGTACTCCCTTCTCTTCAATTTTTTGGAAGAGTTTGAGAAGGAATGGTGTTAATTCTTTAAATGTTTGGTGGAATTCATCTGTGAAGCCATCTGGCCTAGGACTTTTCTTTGTTGAAAGGTTTTTGATTACTTATTCAATCTCTTGTTATAGAACTGTTGAGATCTTCTATTTCTTCTTGTGTCAGTTGAGCTAATTTGTGTGTTTCAAGGGATTTGTCCACATCTTCTAGGTTATCTTATTTGTTGATGCACAATTGTTCATAGTATTCTCTTACAATCCTTTTTACCTCTGTAAGGTCAATGGTAGTGTCACCACTCTCATTTCTTATTTCAATTATGTTAAAGAAAAAATTACTCATGACACTTATTAAAATGGTAAGTCAGATCTTTATACAGGACTATCATGATTCATACGGGGACTGCTGCAATGGGGTTTTGCAATTGGGAGGAGAGACTGGGCTCAACTCTGGCTACAAGGGAAAATGGGAACTTATAGCCAAGGAACACGATAGGAGGGCAGTTAGCAGATGGAAAATTACTATGAGGAAACACCAAAGGGAAGGGGAAATTGTGGCTAAACCAACCTAACAGAGACTCTTGTTGAATGCAGGCCAGGTGATCAAACATCACTCAGGAGATGCTGGGGAATGACGAATTTGTTCGGATATCAAGGGTGATTAGATATTGAGGGTGGGAGATTCTGGATAAAAGACTTAGCAGGATTCTCAAGAACTTGGGTTCTGGAGGATATGCCCAAGGATGGGGCCTAGATGAAAACGTACTCCAAGGAGCCTTACTAGAGTTTGGTCAATCCCTCCTCTTGTTCAAGGAGAGGAGAGACATTCTTCTTTCCTTTGAACAATATGAGCCCAATCTCTCATCTGGTCACCTGTTCTTCATTAAGGACCAGCTGAACCATCTGTTGGGACTTGGATGTGAGCCACCAGGCATTTAATGAGGGGAATTTCTATGAAAATAAAAGGAAAACAAAGATAAATAGTTGGAAACCCAGTTTCTCAGTCCAGAATACAGCCAGTTAGGAATATTTCTAGATGTTGGGCTCCAAGCATCTTTAGTGGTAGAGTGAGGATGGCAGTGACAACCTGATGAATTTACTGATTTGCAGTTTGAATGTTTGATGATGGTATTGGGTGTTCAGTTAACTTTCTGAGTGGCTCACATAGAAGAGGGCACAAAGGTTTCCCACACATAATCTGTTGCACTGATTTCTCTGACGTCAATGTGAAGTTGTTTAGCTCCCGCTTGCAGGGCTTTGGAAAAAATTCAGTTTCAGTTCTCAGTGATGCCAAGTCAGGAGGGTGGGAGAAAAGTTGAAAATGTTAGTTTGGGGAGTGCTATGGTTTGAAAATGGTTTTCTCAGTGCAGTGGGTCTTGCCCCAATCTCCAAGGAATAATTAAAGTTTAATAAAATAGCCAGTAAGACACCCTCATTCCCTTTTGTCAGGCACTTACTTTCTCAGCATCCCTTGAAGCCAAGAGTATAAAATGCAAAAAGAAATAGACAAATTGAGGAAAGAACTGTTAAACAAGAAATAACCAGGACTTGATGATTTGGGAAATTCTCAGTCTATCTGTATAACAAAAGATGCTAAAACTAGGAGACTCACTGTTAGGAAATCATGTGTTAGAAAGCCCAGATTGTGGCCAATCTCTTGCTAGTGCCTTGACAGGATCAAAAAGTCAGAGTGTTCATCGCACAGAGGGCTCTTTGAGAGGACTAGGCCTGTGCCTCATGGATCTCGTTAGGTATCTCTGCAGAATCCAGGAACAGAGATGGGATTAGTCAGGGAAGATCTATGGAGGAGCCTCTTGTCTAATGAAATGAACACTTATGACACTCACAGGAAACTCACAAAGTTCTTGAGGATGTTATATCAGCAAAAACGCTGCCAGCATGGACTGAAAGAAACAGAGAGGAGGAAATTAAAGAAGTCCCTCAAAGCTCTCAACATTCTACAGGCAGGAAACAGGCTGACAAGTAGTCACTCAGTGGCAGACACATTCTAGGCTTCAAGAGAGAGGGCTGATGATTCTGAGGGGGGTGGTGCAGGCCCAGAGGGTAGAGCTTAGAGCCAGGGATTGTTCCCAGGCCTTGAAATGTGATGGTTTTCTGGGTTGGATTTTGAAATTGCTTGGGACCAGTGACTCCTCTTTTCCTCCCATTTTCTTCCTCTTTGAAGTGGGGTGTCTATAACTGCTATCCTATGCCCATCTCAGCATTGTATGTTGGGAGCAGATAACTTGTTCTCGAGTTTATATATATGGACTTATTTAATCCTCACTAAAGTCATATGAGTTTCACAGTCTCGTGGAAAGAGAGGAATTTTGTCCCAGGATGGATCATACCTAGAGTCTCACCAATATATAATTTAGATAATTTAGATGAGATATGGGACTTTTGAGCTGATGAGATATACATTAATTTTGGACTAAGTTGATGCCATGGTGGCTGAGATTTAGGAATTTTGGGATGGGATAAACGTATTTTGCATGCGAGACGGACATGAATCTTTGAGAGTCAGACAGCAGACTGTGGCAGGCTGAATAATGATTCCCTCGAGACGTCCATGTCATAATCCCCAGAACCTATTAATATGTTACCTTACATAGGAAAGGGACCTTTGTAGATATGGTTAAGTTAAAGATCTGAGAGGCGGAGATAATTTATCTGGGTGGATCCAAAGGAACCACAGGGTCCTTATAAGAGGGAGGCAGAGGGGCCCGATCTGGAGAGTGATGACAGAAGAAGAGAGAGATTTAACGATGCTACGCTGCCCGTCTTGATGATGGAAGAAGGGGCACAAGACAAGGAATGCAGGTGGCCTCTGCAAGAGGCAAGGAAACAGATTCTCCTCTAGAGCCTCTGGAGGAAGCCTGGCCCTGCTGACATTTGAGTTCATCTCAGTAAAATTCATTTCAGACTTCTGATCTACGGGATTATAATACATTTATGTTGTTTTAAGCCATTAAGTTTGTGATAATTTGTGACAGCAGCCAAATGAAACCAATACAAGGTCACACTGAGCCTTGGTGTAAATAGGTGAAGTTAAAAAACAAATTGTAGAGAAGAGGAAAAGAGTAAGCCACTTGGTAGGGAACAGGCCAGGCAGATGTGGGGAGTGTCGAGCCCGGGGGGTGGGGGGGGAGAGCCTGGAGAAAGGCTGCGCAAGCTCAGGCTCTCCCCAAGCTGGGAGAGCCTCATTCCCTCTGGCGAGGTCAGGCCGCATGGCCAGGCTCCTGAATGGGGGCTGATTCAAGCTGGATTAGGGAGGAACTTTTAACGGGATCGGCTAAAAACATTTCCCACCCAGATGGGGTGTGTCCCGTCAATGGAGGCAGCAGAAGAGTCACCACAGCAACCTTCTCATTCGCTCTATTCCAGTCCCCGTGGTGCCGCATAGATTACAGGTATTATTTTAACACTACCAGCTGTTGGATGGACACAAGCCCCTCCTTCACTCTGAGACTAGATTTTACGCCTTCTGTGGGTCAGCGCTTGTCACGCTAACGCACACGGGGCACCTGGGGAGCGTGTTGAACTGCAGGCTCCGAATCAGGTCCGTTGGGCCCAGGCGAGGCTCGTGTTGCTGGTCTGTAGCAGGTTCGTCTCTCATCTCCCGAGGTTCTGGAGCCCAGGGGTTCTCACTGAGCACATGTCAGAGTCACCTGTGGGACTTGTTAGAACGGATCGCCGGGCCCCACCGCACATCTGATTTAGTAGGTCTGGGGCGTGGGGCTGAAAGTTTGTGTTTCTAGCAAATCCCCAGGGGATGATGACGATGGTGGTCAGGAAACACATTTTGAGAACTACAGCTCTGGAAGATTCTGTAGACCATAGCTTTGACTCTTTTTAGAATTTGGCATCCACTATTAAAGTTTTAACTCTTTAGTTTATAAAATCTTTTCATTGTCCCCAGAATCACTTGGGATGAGTTATCCATTCTTCCTGGGGTTTAGCTTATCTTTGTTGTGAATACAATATAAATTGCAGCCCTTTCTTATCAGATTTGTGTAGAAAAGGTCTCTGTGTCTCCGTGGGCCCTACTGAACACCTACCTTGTGCCAGGCCTGGCCTCAGGGCCCTCTGCAGACTTGGTGGGACAGTCCCTCCCTTGACCACTGCACAGGACAGGCCCCCTCCAGGCCCCACAACTCTGTCACCTTTGCCTCATGGTCAGTGCAAGGGAATTTATCTGCATGTCACTCTCTAGGGTGGAGGAGGCATCGTCTCCACCTTTGTATGAACTAGTGCCTGGCATCACACGCCAGCTGGAAGACTGACTTTACCACCAAATGCACCATGCCCCTTACAAGGGCACAGGTAGGTTACTTTGGCAGCCCTGGCACAGGCCTCAGCCCAGGGGACACCCTGTAATGTGTAAGCAAGCAAAGGGAGGATGGGCTAAGCAAGGGGAAGATGAGAGCCGGGGGAGCCCAGGGGACACCGGGAAGGAAGGGGGATGGACAGTGCCCAGCTGGGCTAGCTCTGCCATGAGGTCCCTCCAGTCCTGCCAAGGACACCCAAGGCAGGAGGTCCCTGTGACACCGTTTCAAGGGGGTGGGGCCTGGACAGGGCAGGGGCTCTGATGGGAGGCCCCCTCCTCCCTTCCCCATCTGTGACTCTCGCCATCCTTGTCTAGTTTCTCCACCTCCCTCCCTGATGGCCCCCACTGGCCAGCTCAACAGACCCCCAAAAGCCCACCAGTGAGGGAGACAGGCGGGGAGGAAACGTGCGGCAGCCTCCTCTTAGGTCCGCTTTATTTGAGAGCAGGCGTGGGGAGGAGTCTAGGCCTGCTGTGCCCGCAACAGCGCTCGCACCTGGCCGATCTGCCAGTCGATGCTGGAGCGCGCCGTGCCCCCCAGAGCACCGTACTGCTCCACGCTGTGCCCGTAGTCCCACACGCAGCTCACGTCGCCCGAGAACAGGGGGCTGGAGGAAAAGGAGGTGATGACCCAGGGCGGCAGGCCACCCAGCCTCCAGGTACCCTGGCCCCGCTCCCGGGAGAGAGCTGAGGGAAGGGAGGGGCCGCACCTGATGGTCTGCAGCTCCTGCAGCGACAGCTGGTTGAGGGCGACCCCCTTGGTCTCGGCCATGAACACGGCTTTCCCGGAGGCCTCGTGGGCCTGGCGGAATGGCATCTGGGGTGGAGCACAGTGCTGACGCAGGCTTCCTCTGCTCTCTGGTCTGCCCCAGGTACCCTCGCCCCTCTGACCTCCCCCAGCCCCTGGGAGACATCCCGTCTCCTTGCCCCCCCACCTGACTGCCTCACACTTACCCCTTTGCGAACCAGGTAGTAGGCGAGGTCAGTGGCCAGCATGTCAGGGCTGAGAGCCTGTGCCATGTTCTCACGGTGAATCTGGGGGCACCGGCCAGGGGAGTGATGAGTCCTGGGGACCCTGGGGCCTAAAGCTGCCAGCCTGAGGCCCAGGGCCTGCCTCCTCTGCCAGGAGGTCCCCTGTCTTGGGCAGATCCTCTCTTGCCTACCTGGCTTTGCCCTGCTCTCTGCTTAAATCATCCCATAATTTTCTTTTTTAAGAGACAGGGTCTCACTCAGTCACCTGGGCTGGAGTGCAGTGGTGTCATCATAGCTCACTGCAGCCTCAAACTTACGGGCTCAAGCCATCCTCCTGCCTCAGCCTCCCAAGTAGCTGGGACTACAGGTGCACACCACACCTGGCTAATCATAATTATTGATAATTTTTAGGTTTTCTAATGGTGTTGCCTTCGTGTTTTCCAAGAGTCCCTATCTTTAGCATGCATCAGAATTACCTGAGGATTTATTAAAATCCAAATTGCTGGGGCCACCACCAGAGTCTCTGACTCTGTAGTCTGGAGTGGGGGGCCTAGGATTGCATTTCTCAGAAGTTCTCAGGTGATGCTAATGCCGCTAGGCTGGGGACCACGCTTTGAGAACCAGTGCTTTAGAGACACATCCTGAGCTATTTAGGAATGAAACAATGTGATAATGGGAATTTGCTTCCAAATGGGGATGGGGAGGGGAGGGCAGTGGGTAAAGACAGCCGCAGCAAGAATGGCCACGAGGGGTTGTTATTGAAGCTGGGGGTCAGTACAGAGGCTTCATTGCATATTCTCTGTTGTATGCTGAAGTTTCCCGTAATAAATGAGTAAAAAAGAAATTTGGCCTGGCCACTTGACCGGACCTGGGCCCCTCAAGTCTAATGCACTTCCATGCGCTTCCCCAGGAGCAGGAACAAGCACATACCCTTGTCTTACCCTGGGCCTTCCAGCCCTACCCTGCCTCACCCCAAGATCACCCCCCTGGCAGGCCCATCCCTGGTTCTAGGGCCTAGGTGGGAAGAGGCAGGTGGGTGGGGAGGGTGTGTCTTGCCTGCAGTGTAGAGATGACGCCAGTAGCCACCTGGAGGACAGCACTCATGGTGTCTGACACTTCAAACACAGCTTCCTTGTCTTCCTGGGGACACATGACAGGAAGTGAGGACCCAGTAGCCCCCCCACCCCCGGCACCTGTCCCCAGAGCCCTCTCCCCTCCGAGGCATCCCCACTGCCTTCTACTAGGAACACTCAGCACCCCAACTAAGCAAGGGCAGAGGGCTCCGAGGGTGGCCATGGAGCTGTGTGCACAGGATGAGAGGTGGCAATTCTGGGGGGGCGGGGTCCTGCCTGGGCTAAGAACTGGCATGTGGTTGCAGGCAGTGGGGCCCTCACCCACCACCCCAGCCTCGCACCTGCAGGTCCTTGTTGTAGGTGCTTGGGAGTCCCTTCAGGGTCATCAGGAGCCCGGCGCACTGCAGGAGAGGGACACTCAGGAGCTGGGACCCTGGAGCCTGTCCTGGGAGTCCCCTCAGGACCTGCTGGGTCTGCCCAGAGGCCTAGCCCCTCTCTGCCCTGCTCACCCGCCCAAATACACGCCCCGCCTTGCTCCGGATCAGCTCCAGGCTGTCTGGGTTTTTCTTCTGGGGCATCAGGCTGCTTCCAGTGCTGGGGGCAGAGATGCTGGGACTGAAGGGGCCCACCTGCCCCTCGGCTGGTCAGCTGGCGGGGGCAGGGCAGGCCCAGCAGCACATTGTCCAGGTCTGAGCAAGGGCTGGGCTGGGGAGAGAGGAGGCTGTGCCGAGGGGTGGGGCAGGGCAGGTGGCAGCTCGGGCCTTACCTGTAGGCATCTGAGAGCTGCACAAAGCCAAACTCCTTGGTGCCGTAGAGGATGAGGTCCTCAGCCATCCTGCTGAGGTGGGTCATGCACAGCGAAGCCCAGAACAGGAACTCGGCTTGGGAGGGAGGGCAGGCTCTCGGGCACCGGGCCTTGCTTGCCCCCCATCCAGCCTGACCAGATGGGGTGGGAGGAGCCTGGAGAGAAGCCGGGCTGGGGAACAAAGGTGGGGCACCATGCAGGGACTGGGCCCCAAGACTCACCCACAAAGTCTCGCTCACTGGTGGCATCCATGCTGTTAAGCGTGATGGCCCCAAAGTTCAGTTCTGGGGGTGGGGAAGGAAGCGGGGCTGGGCTGGAGGGCAAGGAGTGGCCGCCCCTACCCCACACAGACTGCTCAGCCACCTCCCCACTGAGCCCCTCTCAGGGAAGAGGATCAGGGAGGGCGGGAGGTGGGGGGTCTCTTGCACAGGGCCCAGGAGGGAGGAAGGAGCCCCTGCCACAGGCAAGCCCTTGCCTCGATAACCTCAGGGCCCAGAGGCAATAAATGAAGGTTCCACCTAGCAGCCCCTGCCCTCTGCCTCCTGTGTGTCTGCGAGACCTGGCGGGTGCTGAGGGTGACTCTCCCCGGGGACGAGGGGCACGGAGCCTTACCTGCTCGGAGCAGCTCCCGGTCCACACCCAGAGGATTGCCCGCAATGGCCCCGCTGCAGGGACGGGGGTTCACAGTGAGAGGGGTCCGGGCAGGCAGGGAGCCCTGTCACACACACGCACACACACACACACAGCCAAGCCCTGGTTACCAGGGCTATGGCCTGGAGCTCAGCCACTTCCCTGGCCCAGTCACCTCTGGTGCCAGAACACTTGTCCCCACGAAGGGAAATGGCAGGCTGTGGGCAGGGTGCTGGGCTCTC